CTTACACACTCACCACGGGGGTAATTGCATGCCAATCAAAGCCTCCATTAAAAAAAAGCAGCCTTAATAGATATGTATGAGGCAATATACAGAGGAGGAAACTAATGACAAATACAGCTGGAGCTGCTCTGTCACTGAACTGAGTGAAGACTCCACAACGGCCTCAGCCTTTCAGTTCACCACAGACGTCAATGGGACACGGTCCAGAGACGCTTTTTACTCATATATTAGCAGCTCATGTTAATCAACAACTGGAGGTGCATGCTGGGTTGTTACCGAAAAGTACCTCTACAACACAGTACCATATTTTGACCCTCTCCTTCTATCTGCAAAAACCAGATTAAATCTGCTTTTGGATTAATATTCCCCCGAATATTCAACCGTCCATCACTTTTTATTTAACCTGTGGCGCTCGTGCGAACACGGCGACCAACATTACCAACAAACACAAATGACAAAGTCTCCAACTTCCGTGAACCATCTGATCTAACACCGTCCGTGTCACAGGTGCAGCCCGTGTGTTTTAATTAGGATTAAAAAAAAAAGTCTCACCATATTGTGGTCCCCCCAAAACTCCTCGACGCCGAATCGCAGAATTATCGGTGAGGCGACAAAATAAAGAGAGAGCCACAGATCCCGAGTGGGAAGGCAGTTCGATGCCAGCTCCGAGCTCCTGTCCTCGGACGTACAACAGCACTGTGTTGCAGCAGCAGCGTGTTAAATCTTCCACACAGACAGCAGCTCCTCACAGGAGGGCTGTATCCTGGCTCTGTCACCAGCCAACTGCACACAGCAGAGCGCTCTCTCTCTCTCTCTCTCTCTCTAGCTCTCCCTCTCTCTCTCTCTCTCTCTCTCTAGCTCTAGCTCTATTTCTCTCTCTGTGTGTGGTAGTTTAGTAGCTCACTGTCTCTTCAGAATATTATGCTGAAGTATTATGAAGTCTTTAGCTGTATTGCTGTTGCAGTTCTGGAGGTTGGTTTTTTTTTCCCAACAAATGCAAGGCTAAATTTCCCATAAGGCTTAGCAAAGTCCAGGTGTCAGTCTCATGTCTGTCTGTCTGTCTGTCTGTCTGTCATCAGCGTGTCTGTCTATCTGCCTTTTCATTTTCTTGTCCCTCTGTCTGTCTGTCTGTCTGTTATGAGCATGTCTGTCTGTCTGTCTCTCCGTCACCCGTCTGCCTGACATACAAAGGTAATCTCATTACAACGTTCAGGTCAGCGAAGGAGAGCTGGATATAGCACACCCTCCCACTCCCCCTCATACAGTATCTGCCAGACATGCACCTTAGCGGCTCAAGCAGAGGTTACTGCCCCCTCAGGCAGATGGACAATATCCATCAGGCTATCTTTCTACTATAAAATAAAGAGCTAGGACAAGAGCGGAGAGAACCACCCTGGAGGACAAAAAATCTATAAGGTATTATAGCAAGGACCGCCATATGTAGGACAGACCCGTCACGTCAAACTCAAACTGTCCTCCCGGACTGGAGTTCGACCGAGGTCGTTACGCTTAATCCATTAGTCCAGTCAGCCTTCTTCATTGTGTAGGAGCTGAGGGGAGACGCCGCTGTAGCGCGGTGCCGTGATTCACCTGTCACTCAACGACACAGGTTGGTGTTTTCCTACCCTCTGGTCTAACTGGCAACAAGAGACGCCCCAATCAATACTGCCTTATTAGTTGCAGTGCCGCAGAAGTCCTGATTTAAAATGGCAGACCATTGATATCTTTGCGAGTACCCGAGGACTAAGTATTGGACATTGTCCTGTGTAAGTAACAAAAAATATAAATAAAAATTTAATGGCATCAGCTTAAGAAACTCACATTCAAATCAAACCTCTGAAGTAAATATCAAAAATCTAAAGCATTGGTTCCCAAAGACTGGGTCGTGACCCTTAGGTGGGTCGCAAAAGTTTTTTTTTTGGGTCGTCTCGAATCGTCTCAAAAGAGTTTACGAATAATGTCTATTGACTTGGGTCACGAAGGTTAGTGACTTTTTAAATTATGAGGCAATTAAGCACTTTTTGTGGGGCGGCGGGCCGCACAAAATGATTCGGTTGGCCACATGTGGCCCGTAGGCCTTGAGTTTGACACACGTGCTTTAGACTTTCACAACGCTGGGGGGGTGTTTGTTTTAAATCACCTGTCTAATTTGCAGTATGCAGAACATATTCCCTAACTAAACGTAGGTGTACAGCTCCACCAAACAGCGTTAGCTCTGTGCTAAGCAACTGTTAAACAGAGGCTTCTATGTGAGGTATTTTATTTACTTCCAGAAAAAAAAAAAAGGAAAGGCAATATGTACCTGTCTGTTATGACTAACTATCTTGTCTTTATCCAGATCATATTGCGCAATATTTCCTGCAACCAGCAGGACCGGACTGTCGCATGGATTTCTGTGATTTTCTTTAAAAAAAAAAAAAAAAAAAAAAAAGAGTCAGTGTGGTCCCCCCGTAACCACTGTGCAGCTTTTGAAGCATGCAGGGAAGTGATGTGATTCAAGCTGACTCAAAGTATACAAGCTGGGGACTTTGCGAAAACTTTGATCAGTTTTGGGAATAAATAAATAAATACAAACGGGCCCAGAACTGGCTTTTGTCCTCGCGGACATTTCGCAACCTACTGCTGCTGTAATTATTTTGCAGTATGTGCTCCTATAAATACACATTCCCCGGGTGTAAAGGAGCAGCTATGGCTGTAGGCAGCAACACATACATACAAACAACAAAATGTATATATTATATATAACATAGTTTTGAGAAACACAGATTAGCTCATGTTAGCGTGGCTTTAATGGTTGATAAGCTGGGTGGTCTACGGGGCACATATTTACAGCGAGCTGACTAAACGTATCTTACGGAAATGATTATCATCTGCAGCAAAACACAATTAAGATTTAATGTGTTACTTGGGAGACTTCCCTTATTACATCCCCATTACATTTCACATAGATGCTTCAATAAACGCTGAATGTACTACGAAACCCAGACTTGACTTTAATCTCAGCTTCAAACATTTCAACCTCTGCGTCTAATACTAAATGAATCAAATGACTCCGATAACATTTTCTCTGCCTAGCTTCAAAGTCGGTACTTATGAGAAGAGCTCGAATACCACGTTTACGACATAACTAACCCACAGCTAGAGGTCAGTATAAGGTAATCTGACCCTCTGCTATTAGTCTTTGGCCCTTCAACTCATTTGGGTTTGAGACCCCTCAATAATAGACGCCTATTATTTCTGACTGAGAAGTCAAAAATAATACATTAACATTATTCAAATGAAATGTACCAAAGAAGTTATTGAGTTTAATTATATTTTCATTTACAATAAAAAAAATTACTGCTCTATCTTGGTATAACGTACTAATGTATGACAAAGACAAGATATCATTTACATGAAGTGTTTATGTATTTTTTTGTAATTTTCCAAATTCAGCAAATGGACACATGAACACCCTAGTGGACCGGTTTTGGCCCGCAGCCCGTATGTTTGACACCTCTGGTTTAAAATCACTGCTCAACAACTGACCGGTCAGTCAATAAATATGAATACATTGTGAAGAATACCATACAGTCGCTAACACTGAGAATCCAGACAGTGTCAATCCAGGAAACAACGTGTGAAAAGTGTCAGAAAATATTCTACAGTCATGGTTTTCAAGAAAGAATTTCAGCCAGAAAGTCAAACCCCCAACATGGAAACAAGGTCAAGCTGTTTAAATATGCAAAAAAAAAAAAAAAAGATACAGAGAAATGGTAGCAGATGCTCCAGGCAGATGAGTCAGAAGTTTAAATTTCTGTCTGTATCAAAAGACAGTTTGTTACATATGTGCACAGCTGGCAGCTTCAGTGGGAAATGTTCCGGTAAGTTCTGGCCTGACCAGCTCAGCCATTGCATTAACAGTCTTCTGATCAACATGTTTCTCCCCCTGGGAGCAGCCCAGCGTGTTATTATTGTTAATATATGCCTCTGACATATATGTGCGCGATGCATTGGAACTGAATGAGGCAATTAGTGGCTGAGAAACCTCATGCAATAGAATAAGTTGCTATTATTCAGTGAGATATTTCTGTAGGGAGCTATGATTGGGTGCTCACCGCAGTGTTTGTTAGCCATAAATACAGTTAAGGGTACAATTAATGTAGGACTTTTTAAATTCATAATAATCAGCTTGTAACCCCTTAATCCTTTTCAGAGCTGGAAGGTGAGATTTAGAGCCAGTCCTGCAGGTTTGAAATAAAAAAACATTCTACATATACTGTATGTATGGTCAATTCACTGCGATCAGTTACCTCATCCTGCACGTATCTGGACAGTGAGGGTAAACAGGTGTACGCCGAAAAACACATAGGGAGTATGTGCGGGGGGTCGTCGAATTACGTCGGAGTTCCGTTTCCTACGCCGTGATATGACTCGATTTCCGCATGACATCATACTATAGGACAGCGGTGTCAAACTCATTTTCACCGGGGGGCCACATCAACAATACTGTTCCCCTTGAAGGGCCGGTTGTAAATGAAAGACTATATAGCTTAGGGGTCCCCAACCCCCGGTCCGCGGACCAGTACCAGTCCATAAGTCACTTGGTACTGGGCCGCAGTGGGGCACAGTGAAAAAAGAAAATCCAGTCATATCCATTTACTTTCTTTAGTTAAAGATAATCAGGCAATGTTTCAAAATAATACGTCATTCAGACTCTGATACAAACAAAAAATGTTTTATTTTGAAAATGTAATGATTCTGCAATGCTCAGTACCTTATTAGTGGTCTGTAGTAACAGGTGGTACTGGCTGACCAGTCCTTGGAACAAAAAAAGGTTAAGGACCACTGGTATAGAAGTAACTACTCTACCATTTTACTTGAACACTGAATAGTTGGACTTTATTGACTTGTTTATCGTATCATTTCCTCCTGTATTTTTTCACATCGTCTGAAGTTTTTTGTAACAAAGGAGTTGATTTTTTCACTTCATGGACATGAAGCGACACCTTTCTGTGCCGCGTGCTAACGATGTGCTAACTAACCTTGAGCTCCTGGATGGTGTTGTGCAGCCTCCTGCGCTCCATTTCTCCAGCGTGAAGCTCGTCCTTCTGCTGCGCTACAGTCTCTTTGAGACAGTGGACCTCCTCCTGGGTGTCCCTGAGGGTCTCTTGTACACGGGTCAGGGTGGACTCCTGCACTGAAAGCTTCATCTGCAGATGGAGAAAAACATACAAATATAAATCAAAGTTTGCCTGGGTTAACATCTCCTTCAGTGGTGGGTCCTGACTCTTTACCTTGAGAGTTTGGAGCTCCGTCTCCTGGCTGTCTCTCAGTGTCTCCATCACCTTGTATTTGCCCTCCAAGTTAGAGAGTTCCACCTGCAGACTGCTCTTCTCACTGGACACCAGCTCCAGCTCATCGCGGACTCCCGTCAGCGCCTGGAGCTCCTCTTCGTACTCACTTCACATGAACGCAGACTGGTTAGTGTTTAAACACGATGAATGATCTCCAGGACTGGAAAAGATCTGCACACCTGATCTGGTTCCTTCGTAATTCAAGCTCCTTCTCCATTTCAGCCGCCCTCATCTTAGTCTGGGCCACCGAGCTTCTCAGAACCTCGTTCTCCTGGTTGACTGATTTGACCTTGGTCTGGTAGTTGACGATCTTGCCCTCCATGTCGCTCACCTTGCCCTTCAGGTCCCAGGGTTTTCGGGAGTTTCGAGCGTTGGGAGCTCCACCTGCAAGCAAGACCAACAGTCACCAACAGGGGTACTGCATACATTCAAACACATGCCTCAACTTGCATACTCCATTCACCTCAGCATACATTCAATCTTTTCTTTCTCTGACATGTCATCTGCATAGATAGATATGTCATCTGCATAGATGTTTACCGTACGTCTGTTCATTTATAATTCAGCTGCAGCTCAGCTCGGAATTTCTTGCTTGCAGGAATGTTTATCGTAAGTCTTTGAACGAGTTCATAAAGAATTTAAAAAAACAATGCTGTATGTTTATGTGATCATCTTTTGTATTATAGTATCGCATATATAATATAAATGAGGATAAATACATGCATTAGGGTAGATTATTGAATAGACCATAGAATGCATTCAGTTTACACTATAGGACAGTGCACTGACCCCGCTAGAGCGTGGTACGCATGGGAAAATTCACATTTTCTCATTTACATTTTCAATTGAATAAATCTGAAACATACCATGCACAATTAATACAACATTTAAACATAAACATCTTCATAAACATTTCTAAACATTTCTCCTGTGGTGGAAGCTAACAGTGAAGGCCTCTGCTGCTATATTCTAATGTTGGTCATCATGGTGGTACTCAGAGAGCTCAGTGTTTTCTCAGAAGAAGGAGGTTCAACTTATATAACAACTGTAATAATATCCAGCGTTTGTCCAGAGTCAAATACAAGGTTTGAAGTACTTGCTGACAGTAATACTAACAAAAGTGAAGTGATCAACCAGGAACCCGTACTGAAATGTACGCAGTCAAATACAAAGCAACAAAGAGATTCATTTTTCTCATTCTTCCGTTTTCTTATATGCCTAATGGCGCCTCCCGTGTGGGTTGCAAAGACTCAGAGTGAAAAAGTGGTAACAAATAAGGGACTCAAATATTGCTGTTGTTATTATTATTATTATATCTTTATGTTCTATTGCTATTATTATTGTTATTATCATCTCATTACCATCAACTGAAAGGACCGTGTTTGCATTTGTTGTGCTCAAGCGCAGCTGTCAGCAGGTGGTGCTGTCCATGGTGCTGAACTCAGATTGCAGCAAAACAAATTGTGAGCCTCAAGGTACTCACGGAGGAGTGGGGACAATTTTACTGTACAACCTTCATGTGAGAAAAAAAAAAATCACATACTCTTTCTACATCAGTGTAAACATCTTCGGGAGTGTGCTTAAAGAAATGTAACGTAATGAACTTTAAATACATAATAATAATCTAATAATAATAATCTTGGAGTGCATTTGTTAGTTTATATCAACAATGGTGAGACAACCAAATTCTCAAACCGTTTTTAGGTATAATATTATAGATGAAAAGATGAAAAATTAAATAGTTTGTTCTTCAGTTTCTGTTTTTTATTAGATCGAGTCCATTAAGATTTTCAGGAATAATGTTTATTTGTTAGTCTTAACCATTTGTTTTAGACATACGATTAAGACTATGGTTTACGACGTTGTCCACCTAAGGTAGGAAATATGTTGTCACACTGCGCTGTACGCGGAACACGCCTTCGTTTACATTAGCCGATTCTAAGCTATACATTGGATTGAGCTACATTCGCTATCTTACGTTTCTGTTGGTTATTTTCAGGAACTTGTTGCCATTCAATATGGCTGCCAAGCCTAAGTCGGACTCTTTTGATGTTTTTATGTCCTAGATTATGAACTACCACATGTACCTACATGTATTGGCACCTGTACTGTACAGCCTGTGCCTCATCTAAATGGGATGGCCATTATGACAAAACTGATAAAAACCCACCCGGGCTTCCTGACCCCCGCCCCCCCCCAAACGTACCCCTCCTTCGGGTGCTTTTAATGTATTCTTTTAGATACACAGGGCAGCCCTTTTGACCAACTTCATAAGAATTGAAATTGGCTGGTGGCAAATGGAACTGCTCGAGGTGCCTGAGTGTAATAAGAGTTTGGAGACGTTGACAGTTTTGGCAGTGACGACTGTGTGTGATATTGAGAGGTCGTAACAACTGGCGAGGGTTTGACAGAGGTTGTTCTTCTTCTCTTTGTGCGTGCCGTCGCTGACACACAGGCGGTTTCTTTGTCTGACACTTATATACAGCCACCACCCGCGCGTGTGTGTATATATAAAAACTAGATCCTTCAACTAAAGAGAAAAAACATAAATACTGTATAGGCGTCTGTGTTGATTTTAACTGTGCCCTAATGTGAGTTTAGAAACTGTTTCTAAACGTTTCCATCTAACAGGAAATTCGACATTATGTTCATTGCACTTTATTCCAATGTAGCATGAAGAGTAGGTTGACACCACAGTGGTGCAGCTGACTCACCAGTTTATTAGAATATCTACGGCTCAAGTATGCACAGAGGGTGGATTTATAAATAACTGTGTTATACGATGTGGCCAAAACACCGTGTTGTGTTGTTTCCAAGCTCATTTCCAGACCCCCCAAAAATTACTCAGACAATAACACACACTAATGTGAGCTAAAAGGACTAACTGACTTCAGGTCAGTTAGTCCTTTATTACCATCACAACGGTGCGAAACGTGTAGGAAACATCAAGCAGAGGACCGATCAACACAAACGACCAAAACACAGTGAGACACATCTAGAACGGGGATTCTCAAGCATAGGGTCGTGGCCCGAACTTGGGCCGCAAGTGCCACCTAGAGGGCCACAACAAACGGGCGCCGGGACTGTTTAGGTTATTAGCCGAAGACACCAGATATAAGTTATCCATGAGAAGCTCTGTTAAACTGCAGCTTTCAACCACATGGTGGCAGTAAATGCATCAGTCAGTTCAGTTCTGTCTTCTATTCTAGAGAACTGGAGAACTTTTTAAAACTAGACAATAAAGACAAACGTTGGGCGGACCCTCCTAAAAAAGTCAAAATTTCTGGGATGATCCGATCCCTACATCATCAAAATTGGGCCGCAATGTCAAAAAGGTAATCCCCTGATCTAGAATATTTACTTTGAGGCGATATTTAATGGGCCTCGGGCCAAAAGGTTATCCCCTGATCTAGAATATTTACTTTGATTTTGTTTGTTTACAACTAAGACCAATAATTATTATTTTCTAATGGGTCAAAAAGATCAGCAAAAATAAGAAACAAAGTGCACCCCCTGTTGGTGAATTGATGGTGGTGATCGGGTGCTATAAGCAGCTATAAGTGTCAGTACCTAACGTATTGTGGAGCTAAACGTACATTATTTTAAATAGTGTAATATGATTCCATTGACAGTCATTTCAGTAATTACAGTAACTTTCACTTCATTTTTTGACTCACTATATCCTCGCCCCCTACGATGCCCCAGACATTTGAGCAGGACACTTATCTAGACTGTGGGCAGATATGACCTACACTGTCCACAGAATGTGTTTTTAAAAAATCCAGTGTTGCCATTTCTGCTGAATGAATTCTGGCAATGTCCTCTTTCATAGTAAATTTGAGATAAACTCTGAAAACATTTTAAGAAAACCCATTTATATATATATAAGAAAGAGAGAGACTTTGGCACAATAAAAGATAGTCACAGCGAGTGCTTCTTGATGCAGTGGCAGACTGTGTTAAGTGACAAAAACTTCCTAAAGGAGTCTCCTCCGCCATGCACCTCATATCTATCACCGTAGCACAGCAGCTTCCTAATGCAATACTGCTGAAGGGCTTAAAGGTCGAACACATTCAGCAGTGAGTTCTTCCACTGACCTTAATGTCTAGTGTTTCTCTCGACTCCCCGAACCTGGTCGACAGTAGGATCATCTTAACTTCTTTCCTAAGTGGAAAAAAATTGAATTTAATATAATTTTTAATTTAATGAACAAACACAGTGAGACACAGTATGGCAAAAAAAAAAAAATTGCACATCTAGAACAGTTAATTCATAAACCCTTTCCAGACTGCAACGGTTACTCAGACAACGTCGCCGCAATATTGTTTGGTGCTTTAAGATCGTCGTTCGCACGACCAAAAATGCAGTTAGACGGTAATGACAACAAGCAAACATATGGCTAGTAATTCTTAACCACAGGGGCGTGGCCCAAACGTGGGTCACCAGAGGGCCACAAAAACATTCAGATTACCACCTGTGGGCTCCGGGACTGCATGGGTTATCAGCTGAAGACACTAGATATGACCATATGTAATTTAATTTTTAATTTATATATATATATATATGTATATATGTATATATACATATATACACACATATATACATATATACACATATATACATACATATACACATATATACACATATACACATATATATACATACATATACACATATATACACATATACACATATATATACATACATATACACATATAATATCTTCATTAAGCTGCCCTGCAGCTGCATGGCAGCCTGAGCTTGTGAGCTACGATGTCCCCGGGCTGCTCACACGGGCAGAGAAGCTGATCCGTTACTTGAAATCCCAGAAGAAGAACCAAAACAGAGGACTGTAATGAAAATGTTTTCTCTTTTATCACCATCTTTGTGCCTTTTCTCGTCCTCTGGGAGCGCACAATGGGAGCCTGCGAGAGAGAGCGATTTTGACAGATTCCACAGGTTATTACGTTTATGGCCAGGGGCCACCAGGAGATTCCATTAGCGCTGAGGAGAGCAGTTGCCATTTTCACCTTGATAATATAGACTTTCAACTTTTTAAATGGCTGGAACTGAGAGAGAGAGGCTGCTATCATTCAAAACGAGACGGCTTGTGCAGACCAGGGTCAATTAAATACGAAGCAAATGCTTCGGGAAGATGGTGATTGTTGTAAATGTCCGCGTACACAGACAAGATTAGTTTTGTTTTTTTATATCACTCAGAGAAAATCAATACATCCCGTTAAACAACACACCGAAGATATACTTTTGTTTTTCCAGTGCTTTATAAAAAAAAATTTTAAAGTGAAATCCACGCAAAACTTCAAAATTGAAGTAGTAGCTTTTCTGATATAAAATAATGAATAATGCTATTAGAAACAACGCAGAAATCCTGTATTTTATCAGTATTCCCATAATATTACTTCAGCTTAATGTCAGTCAGATTATCTTAGAACAAACACTACACCTGTACAGTCTTTGTGTGACCAATAAAAACACTGGTAATGTTCTCCTAAGCAGCTGAACACGCTCATTTCCTAAAAAAAACGAAGATACCGAGGTTCCACTGTATTCATGGCGTCTATAGCCATACTGAAATTATCAGTTAATGATTCTCCCCATAGAAATCAATGTGAAATGGATGAAACCAATGAAAATAATTGGATCTAAGACAAACACAACTGAATAAAAATAAAGCTATAAATAAGAAAGGCAATTTCATTCATCCTTACTGGAGCTCAGGAGTCATGATTGCACAATGTTTGCTTTTCTTTCTGATAAATTGTTGTAAATTATTGTTGGCCGCCGACAGCATTGTCGAAATACTGTCACCGGCCAACTACTTTTCATTGATCCAAATTAGTAGCAATTCTTTTCCTCTTCTTCTAATGTCTGAGATCTTTGCTTGGTGATCACAGTCACTCCTTTGAACCTTAGCTTCTTTTATTGCCTCCTTGTTCTTAATGATGGTACCGATCGATGACTAAAGCGATTGCTAAACCATACCGTACGGCTAGATCTGAAAAACATATAATCTTTCTTCACTTCCAATGTTCTTCTCGCTCTTTTTCTTTCTAATGGTGATTTATGGAATTAAAAAATTAGAAGAAATATCACAACGCAAGATTATTGTCTCTTTTTCGGTTATGGTACAATAACCGGGACAAATTTTGTTTCAAAATTTTGTTCATGAACCGAATTGTTCGAAAAGGGAGGCGTTCGCCCACCTCATGTAGCCACAATAACACCATCGCTAAAGACACAGCTGTGACATAATGTACACCAAAACCCACCTCATGTAGCCACAATAACACCATCGCTAAAGACACGGCTGTGACATAATGTACACCAAAAAGCATCAATAATACAACTACAACATTATTAAATAGACTACACTCACGTTACTCACCAAAACCTTAAGAATATTTTTACACTAAATCCACCCTCCTCTCTTTCCATAAGAAAACTTCAATTAACCTGTTGTACACATTATCTGTGCGTTCCAGTTCTGACAAGAAGTTCTTTTTTAACTTCATCCATGCCATGAAAGTCCAGTCTGGCCTGCAATATTTATGGCATAAGTTTTAAATCGCTTCAGGCTGAGAGTGTCCACTCGAAAAGAAGCAGTGGACGCGGAGAAAACTTTTCAAGCGTGCAAGTTGGTAGATGCAGTTTCTCTAGATTCAAGTTCATGTTCTATTCTTTTTGACAAACCAAATTAAATCACTCAAATCATCGACATAATTGTACGCCAAATGTCAAACTTAAGGCCCGTGGGCCAAAGGTGGTCCACCACATCTATTAATGTGGCCCAACAGATCTCAAAGAGACTAATCTTATAGTTTCTGGATTATAAAAACGCAGTGGTCAAATTCCCGAATTCCCACGTCTAAGTAATGCGATACTGTTCAATAAATGATAACGCTATGTGGCTCACAATTTAGAGTACATTTTTCATTTTGGCCCCTGGCATGATTGAGTTTGACACTCCTAGTAAGGTCTACAATAATCTGCAGTGCCTGTTCTTTCCCTCTCCGTATAGGACCTGTGGTGTATGGTACTATAGATAGCAGGAGATGAAGGGCGCAGATGCCATCAGGAGATAGCATCAAGATGGGAAAGCTATAAAGCAATGGTGGAAAAAAGGATCAAACAGAGAACATTAATCCACCCTTCAACGAGAAATGCTCTTGAGCCCACTTTAACATGGCATCCACCGCCAACCGCCGACCGACTCACAGTTGTCCATATAACTGCTGCACAAAGAGAAATCACCTCAAAGAGACTCATTATTTATAACACCGTATCCACGCGGCCCAATAACAGCAGCTCTTTGAAGAGCAGGACTCATTTATAGAATCATTCGGATGTTTTCACCTGGGCTCAACACGCGTTCATTTCCGCAGCCGTTCGTTTCCCTGTCCTTGTTGTCGAAACAATGACTTTGACTTTATTGCGTATTTACTGAAACCTAACCTAAACAAGTATCAGTGGCGGCAATGTTCCCTCTAATTTTTCATGTGTCTGGGCCTACACACGAGCTCAAAACCCGGATCTTCTCAAGTTACATGGATTATTCCTCCTGCTTTCCTTCCTTCCTTCCATGGCTGGACACCTGTCACTCAGTGAGATACATCTTTGCATTATTTTTCGGATCAATGGTTAAAAAAATTAATACCTACAACACAGTTTGAGATTTTTTGAGGGCTGAGAATTTCTGAGCAGTGCGCAATTCCACACACGCACTGTTTAGGGGGAACATGGAGTGGCTACAACAAGTAGTAGAATAATGGTACAAAAATACTGATTCAGATTCAGGGACTGAATTAAATGTTTTTACTTGAATTTATTGGCAATTTACGAATTAACTTGGTGAAAAAAGATAATTAAACTTTTGCTTTGGACTTTGATCTTGTGAACCGTCGCTTACATCTAGATATAAAAAACATGTTTTCTTTTTTTTTTTTAAGCCACACATTAAAGTAAATATGAAAATGTTTGTCCCATAATTGCATCCTTTGAGGGCTGGCATTAAAATCCCAAGAATTTAAATTAATTTCTGCAAGAAGAAGAAAAGTGTACGTGAAAATATAAATGAAATAAAGTCCATAAAGCTGCAGTCCTGTGTTGATTTTTTCCACCATCCATTAAATACTCAATTCCAACATATCATGGTGTTTCTTGGAATATGTTAGGACAGGAAGGATGGCTACACACTCTAAGAACTGACAGTGCTGGCACATCCTCTCATCACTTTCCCATGCCGTCACAACTTCAACACGGCTTCAGAATAACACAGAGAATAGTGAAACTCAAACCTGAGCAGAATTATAAAGTTAAAAAAAAAAAAAAAACTGAAACAGATGTGAACAGACTCTCAGGCGACAGAACAGCCCATAAGTCTTGATGAGCAAGAACAGACGGATTTGGTTTAAAAAAAAAAAAAAGAGGCATTCAATTTTTCAAGTGTCTTTTACTGGGCTTCACTTCACATCATGCTGTGAACAAAAAGCTCTGCAAAGACTTACTTTAGGGTGCGTCTCCACCTTTTCATCAGCCTCATAATGGAATGTAAGGACTAGAAACAGCTCACTGATTACCTTCTTTCTCAAGAAGACACTTTCAGGACCTAAGTGATAAAGGAGATTATATGATTGTGGAATAGCCCGACGCCATTTGCAGCTCCCTGCCTTCATTACTCTTTAATTCCCAAACAAATCTCTGAAAGAGGAAGAGGCTGTGTCCAAAGAAAACAAAGGCAAAAATGAAAGCTATTGAAGTCCTACTCATGTTTTTTTCCCAGTTATATATGTAGTTTAATATATTATTTTATGCGTCCACCCCATAAGGTTTATGCAGTCATATTTCATCTATGACAAAGGGTTTCAATATCTCTAGTTGTCAGACTAATGGAATATTTATAGCCCAGGCCCATGATCCTGACGGTCTGGCTTTCATTCAAAGGTATTTGCTGTTCACTCTGCACAAGAACATGTTTGGGAAAACATATATTTTAATGAATATTACTTGCAAAATAAATATAGTGTATATTGTTTAGATTTTAGAGAGCATAACAGTCCTAACATATGGCTGAAAATATATGGACAGATAAGCCCCAAAACTGATTTTAATATTATTATTATTATTATTACTGTAACAGAGTGATTGTTTCACACTACGGCATTGAGTACTTAAATTTTTTTGAAAGGTTTAAACCATTGTTTCCCAAAGACTGGGTTGCGACCCTCAGGTGGGTCGCAAGAGATTTCTTTTTTTTTTTTTTTGGTTGTCTCGCATCATGTTTCCCAGGAGTTTAGGAATAATGTCTCTTGACTTGGGTTGCGAAGTTTTGTGACTTTTAAAATATGGGTCCCCAGAAAAAAAGTTTGGGAAACACTGGTTTAAACTGATGATAAAATATCATTTTAGAGCACACACGAAGAAAAAATGCGTTCGACTTTTCGACTCTGCCAAAGGGACGTCGACTTCCACTCACATCAAAGTGCTGACAATTCAGTGATCCTGATAATGCCCTACCCTGCACAACTGCCCCAAACACCTTCTCATCTCCATCAACAGAGAAGTGAATCAACATATGGTACAAACTGTACAGCTGCCATTTCTATGCTTTTCCCAGAAAAGGTCCGAGGTTCAGATATAAGTCCTACAGCGTGGCAGTGAACCAGCGTTCACCCTGAAGCCAGTGAAGCTGAACTAAGGTCAAGGATTAGGCTGGGGGAAAATATGATGAGTGAAACATCGCAACAGAAGAGGAAACAGCAAAGACAGAGTCTGTGTGGGTTGAGAAGAGAACGAGAGATCAAGAGCGATGTTTTGGTGAAGCACAGACATTAGCATAGTACATAGCAGGTCCAGGGATAAACCTCTTTCAAGTTGTGTACACCGCAGAGAAAAAAAAAAACACGGAAGACTTTAACTCACAAAAACAACTCACATCTCTATGTTAATGTCCATTAGTAAAGGATGGTGCTTTAATAAAGGATGAGGTTTATTTGCCAAGCGAATGTGTTGCTGATGCGTGCAGCCTGCCTCTGGTCTGAACCACGTTTCTCTTCCATACAGTTTTGTCTTGGATGTGACAAACAAAAAAATAAAAAAGAGTAAGATGGAGCAGGCCCGGGAGAAAGCTTAATGATTGAGAGCGGCGGGGGTTACGGACACTAAAGTTAAAATGAAATAAAAATCGCATTTTTGTCGAATATATATATATATATATATATATATATATATATATATATATATATATATATATATATATATACACATATATATATCATATACATATATATACATACATATATATACATATATATATATTCTTTTTTTTTTTCTGTTTACCTGGGACCGATATTCTGAAGTAGAACTAGCCCCAAAGTTATATAGACTACGCTACCCATACTGCAATGCGGACATACACGCCGACATGCTAAACGCTAAACCGCTTAAATTTCGAGCAGAGTACACAAACAACCACAAACTAAGTTTATCGCCGACAAAATCTGTTTATTTCAACATCGTAGCAAACAGTGAGGTACCCACTGTTGCAGCCTCACCATTCAACCCGTAGCAGAAACGTATACTCAGACTCGAAGCGCTGCACTTCCTGGTCCGGCAGCATAAAGTGTCCCAGGTGGAAACGCGCGCCATTGGAGAGCTCTACTAATATGTTCCATGCTGGGACAGGGAAAACTTGGCGTTTGGTGTAGTGGGTGTTTATCGGTTTATCTGTTGTTAACATTGTTTAAACATTTAGTCTGTCCTGCCATAATTATAAAGGTGTGGGAATATGTTTAGTTATTAGTAATGTGTTTTTGTATAGAAAATCCTGTATATATACTATTTAGATAATAAAATTATATTTCGCAATACTCCATTGACAACATTGTTATAGTGAGGTCAAATGTTTAGCTTATCACTTGGGAGGTATTTGGAGTGAGAAATTGAAGATGATGTAAACCAGTCTATGATTTTTTATTTATTTATTGCCTTTTAATAAATAAACCTGCACTGTTATTCACCAAAAGAAGAACTTATTTTTTCTGTTTAATTTTGGTGCATTAAAAAAAAAGTAATTATATACCAAACGTTTTTTTGTTAGTAATGGGTGCATTCAAAAAAATATACCAAACGTTTTTTTGTTAGTAATAAAAAACTCACACATTTAACATAAAGCAGCTGATTTGTTTTTTTCTGTGCGTTTCTGTGTGGGGGCGGTCACATTACAGCAGCTGGATGACAGAGTGGAAGCCTCGCAAACCATCTGCAAAATGGACATGAAAGACCTCCACCGGTGAAGATGACTTTCCTGTCCACCACCATCTCTTTTAATTACCACAGCTTAGCTTTTATCTATTCCTGGTTGTTTCCCACCTTTTTTTTTTATTTTTTCTCGAGGTATTACCTGCATTAACCTTTTCCCTCCGTTGAGTGTATCCACTGCAGTACAGTCCACTCACTCATTTGGCTCAGTTTTTACAGCAGATGCTCAGCCTGACACAACCCTCCCTATTTGGATTGAGAGTGAAGATGAAGGGTGGATTTGAAAGCAGACATTTGCTGTAAGGCAGGAACCATCAAATTATGTGCACTGTGCATCATTCAATATTGAATATTCAATAGCAAACATTACAAGCGTGATTCTTTTTTTTAATGTCCACACTCTGTCGGCTTTGAAAAGTGTCTATTTTGTATCTTGGCGGATTTAAAAAATGACTAGAAACACTCTCTCCAAGAGAACCTTCACACAGGCTGTTTAAGGGATGGTCAACACGGATGCAGCTCCTTTTAAATTATTTAAGAGAAAGATCCTGGACAGAGACTTTAATGATAGCCGGAGATGTATTTGATACAGGAAGCATCAGCAAATGTCAAGCCAGATCATCTTAACAACATCAATAAAACATAGCAACGAAATACTTTAAAGTCCTCCACATTTCTCACACTCTGATTCAGTACTATCTACAAGATGCTGTAGTCAGCCTTAGGGGGAAAAACACACAGGATGTACTCCATATACCATCCATATAGGAGGAACCTGTGGAAATCACAACTACACCAAGCAAAAAGGAATTCAAAGGACTTACCTGATTTAATTTCCTGTGTTCACGCCACATCCCGTCTTTAAGTCAGAATTCACAAAGCTGTAAAGAAAAGAAAAGACATACAGAAGTATTTGTTAGTCAATGCCAGCAAGTATTTATTCCTGAGTGTGATTTATGAATGCCTTCTCAGATAATACAGTGTATCCCTTGTGTTCCGTCAGTCTTTATTTTGCAGTTCAGTGGAGCAAACAATACTCTTTATTGTTCTTTAGAAATATTCGTGTTTGACGGATAGAGAGAGCGAGAGAGAGAGACAGAGAGAGACAGAGAGAGAGATTAGGAGCAGCCTTGTACTTTAAATGTGTATGTATTGTGCTGAATCCTGGGTGATGTATTCTAAACACCCTTAGGGTCACATGTAGTTAGCTTGGCAGAATTGATCGGGTTTTGTCTTTGTCAATCTCTGAACTCTAAACCAAACGCAAACCAAAAAAAAAATTTTTTTTTAGGTATTAAGGCTTAAGGGAAATAGCAAACCAAAAAAAACAAACATTTTTAGGTATTAAGGCTTAAGGGAAATTTGGTAATCAATACGCAGATCAAGGCTGGGATTGAACTTTGTCTAAAAGTTGGAGTGGCTTGGGTTTATTTAAAGATGCAGTGGCAGCATTTTTTTCAGCCAATAATGATTACTGATTTTTTTGGTAAATGTGACTTGAATCTTTGAATTCCCTTTAATTGAAGGTAAAGTGTTCGTCAGCACAAAACTTTGATTCTTATAACAAGCGATATATAAAACATTTCCCGCCGCATTCAGTCTGAAGTTCTCTCTTCAGTTCAACCATTTTTCAAGTAAAATGCTTGGAGATTGGAATGAGGTACTCAAAGAAAACGTGCTCCTCAGCAACCTATTGACAAATCAAACTGTGTCTGTCCACACAATGGTTACATCATTGAGCTAAACTTTAATTAACTTGCTGTCATCACAAACGCCTCAAACCCATTAGAGATGGACAGAAATGTTTTATATATATAGTTTGCTGATCAGAATTCAGACAAGACATTTATGAAATTATCGGTGACCCTTGCCTTGACACGTGGCTCCCAATCACGAAAACATTCAATTCTTTTGTGATAAAACCACATAATGAAACGACTTAAGTCGGCAGAGACCTTAAGAATTAATGCAGTTTTAACTACATGATAAAACCCCGAGAGTCGTTTAAATAATCAAATTGATTAAACTCCCATTAGTTAAAATTGCAGAGCCCCACTGAGTTGGAAATACTTATCTTCCCATGCCCTGAGCCAAATGTTGAAAACAGCGCTGCGTGTCTTTGAAGACGAAACGTAAATTTGCATTTGCTGTTAAAAAAAACCAAAAAATCTTCACTGTGATTGCAATTACTGTCAATTTAAAAAAAAAAAGATTTAAAAATTATATTTGTTCACATGAAAGGCCAGTGATCCGTAAAGTCTGACATCCTCGAGATTCGCATTCAAAATCCCAATTTATTCATTCATTCATTCTGAACCTGACATGCAGTGACACACTTGAAGAAATATACCAGTGAAAAATGGGTCAAACTGTGCGCAGATTTTTAAATGACGTGCAGTTGATACAGTAAAACATGTTTGATTCATCATCAAATATGACTTTTTGCGTCATTTTCTGTTCTAGTCCTATATAATACAAGAAGACGTGAAGAAGCAAACACCATACCTGACTAATCACAGGTTGGAATTCCATCAGTGCAGTGAACAACAAGTGCTTGACAGGCAAATCCTGTTGTTTTCATCAGGTTTTTTTTTTTTTTTTCTCCCTTTAGCGTTGCCTCCTCCTTTATCCTTGATCTCTAATTTCTGCTCCATCAGAGTGTAAAAGCTGCTGTACGGAATTTATTTCATTGCCTTTTACAGTTTGCGTCTGGCTTCACTGACACATAACTGTTGTGAGTCAGCAAAACTAATTGCGAGGCCAAGGGTAACAACCATATGGGACTTTATGTGAGGAGAATCAGGCGTCTTTCACTGTCTCAGTATATCTGCGCAAAACAACGACAAATGATCATTTTCCGTACAGTATGTTTGTTCTGCTTTACTACAACATACAGCGTCCTTTCAGCCTGTAAGTACTGGACTGTATCCATATTACCTGTTAGCTTTTGTTTATGATGCTTTTTTTACGACTTTGTTTTTGAAAGGGATTATGGAGCTTGTGATTGGTTTACATAATAATAATAATAATAATAGTAATAATAACGATACCCTTTATTTAAAGCCCATTTAAAAACATCCATAAAACACATCCGCATAAAACACAAAGACATTAAGAGCTCATAAGTCTGATTGAACAACTGTCTGCACCAATAAAATTGAATTCCGTTTCAGTTTGAGTTGAACCAAAACTGTATCTAAGCACTTGAGGAGAGAACTTGGTGGGACGGTAGAGAGGTAAAGCGCTGTGTCATCTGCATAACAGTGAACAAGGAGAAGTGCTAAATAATACAAACCACAGGATGGAGCACCAGAGTTAACAGTACTTGATACTTTAAACTCTGTGTGGTCCCAAAGACAAGATATAACTGTGCCACTCTGTGCCAAACAACTCGAGCCA